AAAGAAAAAAAAAAAAAAGCATATAAGCAAGTCAAGTGCATCATTTTGTATGCATCTAGCGTCCATGCATACCAACACATTTAGAAGCACAAATAATAAATAACCCATAAAAATAAAATAAGAATATTATATTTAATTATTTATGCAGCACTTGCAAATTACTAAAAAAAATAAAAATAAATAAATAAATAAATAAATATATTGCCCATTCTGTTTTACACTTTTTTGCCTTATAGTTGCAGCCACGTGATTTACATACTAAATTCTGCAGCTAATTAATTGTATATATTCAAGAGAAATTTAATACATATTATCATATCAATAAGGTGTTGGTGCTTTGCTTCTCTGTGTGGTCCATGGTAAGTATAGAGTGGTCCTCTGACTCTCAAAAACCTTTAATTACTAAAACTTTATTTTATATTATATATTTTTATCTACAGAAATCTTAACTCAAAAAAAAAAAATAAATAAATAAATAAATAAATAAATAAATAAATAAAGATTGATCATAGGGTCATTATAAGGGGCATTATTTGTAACAAGAGTGACAGAACCACATTTGTCCTTTTTCTCTAGCTGCAACAATGACTGCCATGTCTTTTTTTTTCACTTTTTCTTTTGTTTTAATCCCAATAAACAGAGACCCCATATAAGTATGTGTTCGAGTATATTGATCTGACGGTAAAAAGCTCGATAACAGAGTGCAACTAACTGTGCAAGCACACAATTATCGAAGTAGGAATACATAAATTTGATGATCCCATCAAACTTCAAACCTTTCTATTTCAAGAAAACGAGACTTTAATCGCGACAAACGCACAAATACGAAGTAGGCAAATATGTCAAAAACCAACCAGGTCCGTAAATGAAAAATCGATACAAGTCACATTGGTGCATTCCCACTAATACAGATAAATAGTGAGATGATGAATGTTAAATCGGATCAGTTCTATCTAAGATAGCAATAAAATTTGCCTGATTGTCCATAATAACTTGAGCACGACTCAAATAACGAACCTATCGAATTCCCAGGGGCTACCAGATTCTGGGATACAAGTTAACAAGGAAAAAAAAAGAAAGAAAGAAAGAAAGAAAGAACTATTCTTGCTTTGAGCTTGTAGAACCTGCAACAGACCTTGCACGTTCAGCCAATAAATCATAGATTTCATTGGCTGATGGACGATCAGCAGGATTCTTCTCTGTGCACTGATGGTACAACTTTGCAAGAAATCTTAAGGTTTCGGGTTCAGTCTCGAGCTTGCTCTCAGATTGGGCCAATGTCTCCAGCTCGTCCGTCAGTTTGGGCCGTTCTCCCCTCTGCATAGATCAAGAATATTAAGGACGACCATTGCTCGTTTGTCGAAAAAAGAAAAAAGGCAAAGTTGCAAAACCTAACCCAAAATTTTTAAGACAAAACATGGAAATCTGGTATTATCATCTTGATACTCTTGAGGGAATTGTCTGATGTTAATTAATGTTCCATTTTACGATCCATCACAAGAGATATTCAGATGTCCACATGTTATGCATAACCTTGTGTTATTAACCAGAATGCGCGGACAAAATATATACCTGTAGAAAATTGTGTATTTCGGGTTCTGGTAAATCAGCATAAGGGACTTGTAGAGTCAGCAATTCCAGAAGTACACAACCAAACGACCAGATATCCACTTCCTGTTTGAGCATATGCAGCGAAAAAACTCATTAGCCAGAATGAGGGGAAAAAAGAACCATATTATATGCTGCTTCATTAAGAGCTACTTATTGGTTGTCACCTATAAATTGCATCGTAATAAAAAAATAAATATTAAAATGAGTTTTTAAGTAAGTTTAATCACCAGAACAAAAACCAACAATCTTTGAAATTTACAAAAGAACCCTCATTTGGTTCAGTTTCACATATTGCACCTTGAAGCCTCAGTTGGAAAATTTGAGGTCTTTCTAAATATGAATTGTTTATATTCTTACTAAAGACAAATCAGGCCAAACCTCAGAGTAGTTTTTGAAATTATCCCTAACAAGTAATAACTACCCGATTGTAAACCTTGGTAAATTATGCTTTACGCATAACAACTGAATAGCATGAATTAGCGATCTATACAAAAATTTCAACCACCTAGTTACCACAAGCAAATCACCAAAAACACTGATCAACGAGAATAAATGTTTTTCAGAAAAAAAGACAACAAAGTAAGAACTTACCAAGCCGTACAAGTTCCGTTGATGCATTGCACAAAACACCTCGGGAGCCATCCACCGAGGGGTCCCCACACAAACATCAGGCGGAGGTACCCCAAAATGTGCAATACAGCACGTGTGCAGGTAAGAACTAACGGGGACCGCTCGATCGAGATCGCATATTTTAACCACAGGAGAGCCATCGGGCCTTTTCTTCTCGAGATCCACCAAAATGTTCTCGCTTTTCACGTCACGGTGAATAATATCTCTCGAATGCAACTCGGACAACGCAAAAGCCACGTCCCGGGCAATATTTAATGCCATGTCAGGGGCAACATGCTTCTCACCAGCACCTGATAATTTCTCCACATAGTCCTGTAAAATTGGACCAACCGTAGTTTGAAATTGTTAAAATAATATAAAATCAAATAAAATAATGTGGCGAATATGCTATAAGATGATGGAGCTAGAAAGCTTTGTACCTTCAGGGAGCCTCCTTTTATATACTCCATCAATATAGCTGACTCTAAAGTACGGCATCCAGGATTTCCATCAGGAGTCACAGACCACTTGGACGAGATCCGATGGCCATAAAATTCTACAATGCATGAATGTTTTACGGAACTCAACATCCTCACTTCCCCTAAACAACTGAACTCAAAGTTCCGGACTTCATTGGCAGAAGCCCCACTCACTTCCATGGATCGGACCTGCAACACACGAGCACACACCTTAAAAGAGATATCCTAAACTTACCTGTGACATATATACTGATTACAATAAACAACAACAATCTCCCCCCTCCCAAAAAAATAAATAAATAAATAAGATCTGTTTGAACCCCTTTTGTGGAAACAATTTCTGTAAAAGAAACAATTTCCAAAATGGCATTTGTACTTTCTGGGAGGTAATTGCATTTTTACATGATTAGACTAGTACAAAGAGAATTGAAACACTAGCCTTAATCAGAACAAAAACCAATTGGCCACAAAATCATGCGCCACTGATACATTTTCAAGAAAAATAAAGTTAAAAAATACAACATAACGAACAAGGGGCTGACAAACATCAAGAAAACAGCAAACTTCTGAAGTCACATATAACGGACATCTTGAAACAAGAAGATTAAACGAGAAAAAATATACCTTCACTGCAGCCTCAAGTTCCCCAATATTGCAGCGCATCATGGATGTTGATCCCACTTTCCCAATTTCATCACACGAAGATAGTGAGGGAAATGAACAATTAGGGCTAGCATCAGGATCAGTGACAATAGTGTCACTCACACGGCTCAAGGGGATATACCTGCAATGAATGGCATGCATTACAATACATAATTTAAAAAATTGCTAATTTCCACCAAGTGATAAAACAACTTCAGAAATGTGTTATTTTGGTAAAGGAAAGAAGTTAACCTTTAACAACATACATGTCGTGCAAACCAAAATCTCACATCATATTTACAACTGGATAAAAAAAAGCACTTCGCCAGAAATACAAGATAAAGGTAAAATAGCCCATCAACCCAAAGAAAGCAGTACAATTTAGTAATTACGTAATTTGAAAAAATTCAAACCTGCAAAAATACTCAGGGTCAGTTTCTTCTCTAATGTCATGGGGATGGCATGCATCAACTATCATACGGGACGACGAGTCACCCCTTTCCGTAACAATTACATTCCATGCATGAGGAGAGAAATCCAAGTAACCCCTGACAAGCTCACAAGGAATTCGAGGCTCCATTCGATCACACAGATACTGGATTAAAAAAAAAAAAGGAAATTCTGTTCATAAAATATATATATTCATTCAACTGAAAGCAGGGAGAAGGTTTTTACGGACACTAGGCAGGAATTAGGTATGTGTTTAGTGTAGCAAGTACCTTCATCAGCAATGATCTATGCCTGCAAACACCAAATTGCATACCCCCAATAGGAACGATAATAGAATTGCGCCTCTCTTTCACAGATTTAATAGACTTCTCACAGATATCATGAAAAATCACATCTTCTTCAATGTCCACACCCAGCTCATAGACTTTGTCCCTATCGCTAATGATTCTAGTTGTGCATGTACAAACAAAAGGTTGCATATGGTTCGAACCCAAAATAGCTTTTCTAGTCCTCTGAAGAACAGAACTTTTATCACTTCCTCCAAAATGATCTGATACAAACAGAGCAAGCAATGAAGCTATCTGCAAATTATCTATTGCACCCTCCGTATGCCCATATATGGAATTGGTCATATGCTTAAATCGAGACAAGAATGCTCGAGCACGCAACAGTATGGCATCTAACTCTTCATCCCTTTCCCTGAATAAAAATTCAAATTAAGATTATTACAATTTCATATCCATTGACATAATTATAAAGCTATCTTGAGGACCTTCATCCCAGTGCATCCCACTATGCGACAGTAAGACATTCAGTTCCAATAATAAAAGCTAGTAGGGATGTGGGGAAAAACACTTGCCGATCAAGAAGAACGACTTCCCGCAAGTTCATGTGCAGATTTTGCTCATAGCTGCCAAGTGTCATAAAAGGTCGATCTCGTCCAGCATCATAGAAGCCGTCAGGTAAATAATCTGCAATCCCGCAGAATGATCTTTCACTATATTGGCATGATAAATATGAGGGATCATTGGTCGGCCTTTGAGATTTAGTGGGCTTAGGATTATCAAGATCCTTCTCAGAATGCCTTTTTGACTTTAAAACACAAGTAGATGATTTAGAAGATGAACTTCCATCTAGTACCACACCATCATCAGAAAGAGAGTCCGATTTTGCTTTAGGCCCGGAATTATCATCCTCAATCTCCTTGGACATCCCATTAGAGTCAGCCACAAAACATGAACATCCACTTTCAGACTCTTTAGTCGCACTAATATTCTCATCCGCGGGAGTAGTGATTGAGTTCTCATGCCTCTCACCTTCTACTGGTAGAGCTTTTGATGGGGCATTATCACTACCGGGAGAGACTTTACAAGTCAGACATTCTGATGATATTTGTGCTGCAGTATCAACCTTCCACTTTTTGCTATTATTTGACCTCTCCCCTTGTGCTTTTGTTCGCATATTATACCGACGTTTCCATCCTTCTGGCCTGCGAGTAGCTAAACATCGACGACTATTAGGCAATAATCCACGTATATTACTTGATCGTGCAACCGAAGACCCTGGAACAAGTCATGCTATTAAGCCTCTCGAAGTACTATATCCGAACATATATACATGTGTACATGTAAATGTATGAAAAGAATAGAACCATAAACATTTCATGAAGAAGAACTAAGAAGTATGCTATAATACAACATTACTTGTGATGCTTTCATAAGTCACAGATGATGCTAATCAAATAAATTGTATAAATGAAAAAGGCAGTCAAATTTGTAACAATAGAGCGGCATTGTACATGACAAAAATAGCATCACATATATCGTATTATAGCATAATGCTTAGTTTTCATGCCATGAAAAGTTCCAACGGGGTCCTAACCACATATAATAGCAATTCATAAAAACGCAAGGGTTGTGTGTGGAAGTGAGGGTTGAGATGGGGAAATAGGGTGACTTCATTACAAGGAGTACCATGAATCTCTATGACATCTTCATTAACATCCATCTCCGTAGACTCATCATTGAGTAGGTCTCTGACATTCCCCTCCAAAGTGCAGCATATCCATGAAGGTATTAGGCATCTACTTAGTCGATTATGCTTCAATGAGTACCAATGGGGAAAAAAATAAAAATGAAAACCATTAAACCACAAAATCATATCAAGCTAATATGATAAAAATAAATAGGCAATGAGAATTATAAAATAAAAACAAAAAACAATCTATACCAAAAAACAAAAAAGAATCTATACCAAAAAACAAAAACTTCAATCTCCACAGGTACATACCTGAAGATTAAGTATCCGAAGGTTATGCATGGATTCAAAATCTAAGCACTCCAAGGATGTCAACCGGTTATTTGATAGATCCAAATTATCCAACTTTTGCAGGCGTGAAAGATGCAAAGGTAGATCAATTAATTTATTATTGGCAACCTTCAGTGATCTCAATAATTTCAACAAAGTAATTTCATTTGGTAAGCTCCTCATCTTATTAAAAGAAAGATCCAAGTATTCCAACTTATCAAGGCAGCCAATTTCGGGAGGTAGGTATCTGCAGAACAAAAAAATTCACATAAGTTTTGGTGTCCTACAAACTAATTCACAAAATAAATCCTTAATTCACACTGAATTTTTAAAAGCTTATGTTATGTATTAAGGAATTTACATTAACAATTCAACTATCTCCAAAACTATATAGAGAATTCAGGAGCTATTGGATTGTTATGTTTGAAAATGGAATATCCAGCGACATAAAATGTGTTAATCTCACCCCGTAGGGACAGTACGCTTGACTTGAACCATTTCTAACCCCAATGGTACTTGATGTTTCAAATATTGGATCTTGGATTCCAAACATGGAATCACACCTAAAGGAAGGCGTGCTGGGTTGACTTAAATGAAAAAGAATTACTCCTTAAAAATTGACCATGCTGTCGCAATTCATTGCAAGCAATAAATGATTATAATTAACAACTCAAGCAAATAAGCCCAGTCTATAACTGGACTTTTTGTTCAACGGACACATCAATATTAGACATGACTTAAGAAAGGCTTCAACAATAAGTTGAACCAGATTTAACAAGAAAGATGCTGGCAATACAATGAATACACAAAGAAACAAATGAGAGTGGGATCAAAAGAAAACATTTTGATCCCGGTATCAATACAATTTTTAAAATAACACTCAAGCATATTTCTCTATAATATTTTACTATTCATTCTCTCACATATTTCTAACTACCATTCATTAGTTAATTAGTTTTAAACCACATTAACTATAATCACTATAGTTCTATTTTACATGCCATCACACTTTTTAAATTACTTTTTTTCTATGTAAAACTGTAAATTATTTTAAAAACAATTGTCTCTAGTGAAAAGAAAAAATTGCAACAAAAATATACCTAATTGCACACAAAGAAGGCTGATTTCGCACTTTTAGTTTCGAAAAATATTCCCGCTATGACCGTTTCAGATTAAACAGTTTTCAGCAAGAAGACAATCTGACAAGTTTTGACACAGACCATAAATAATATTTTTTATTCAATTGAACCTTTACATGACCATAATGGCTTCCACTTAGTATTTTTTTTTTTTGGCACTTAAGTTTCACTTGAATTGCATTTTAGCTTACTTTTATTTATTAAGCGGATTCAGTTAAATTCGCAAACAGCTACTGCAATTTCTACCTGATTTATTTAATGAAAAGAGCAGTGGCAAAACACTCGAATGAAAGAATTGTTGTTGCAACTAACCAACATATAAAAACTGTAACTAACTCAATGCAGAAAAGCTAAACGCTTTTAAATAAATTAGGTAGAAATTACGGAAACAAAATGAATTTAGTTGAATCTCATTAAAAAGCTCAGAGGTAAAACCAAAATTTCTAATTGCAGATTCAATGAAAAATGAATGCAAAAGGAAGAAACGAACAAAAGCGAGAGAGAAAGAGAGAGGAAAGAAAAAGGGTAATGGCAATAATAAATGGATAAAGCGTCTGCAGTTTACATTAGAGGTCTTTACCTAAGCCATAATCACAAGTCATGGTTTTGAAAGATTACACAAATCCCTTAATTCTTTGCCACATGTTTGTAATGCATAGATACCTCTTAGTACGACCCATTAAAATTATGATAAAGTGGAAGCAGCACATAAAAGGTGGTACCTTTACCTAGAAAATAAAGTTTTCTTTGGAGATGATAAATTGGGTAGCTTGCAGATATATATTTATGATTTGTGTTACACTATTATACCACAAAATTTACAGTTACCAGTAACTATCCACCACCCAAATATCCACCAGCGTGTATTGTTCTTGTATTAATGCAAAATTAGGAATAAGAAATCTCATAGCTATATTCTATAGAATAAGCACATATATATATATATATATATATATATATATATATATATATTCCTCGTTTTATCACTTATACCAGCAACAAACTTAGGAGTTAGAACACTTTCCTAACTAGTCATAGACATCAACACGAGGATCTCACATAAGAATAAATTGCAAGGTCCCAATAATATTATCATGCCTAACTTACACGCTCCCAAGTAGATATTATCATGCCAGAATAAGGCACGTCAAGGTCCATTCGATCTAGTTGCTAACATTTTCACACCTCATTAAAAAAAAATCCCATATAAAAATCTACTCCTGCAGCTGTTTCCAAACACTTAACTGACTTTACTACTCCACACATGGTACTTTTGCACATAACAAGAATAGTACAATCATATAAATATAATATTTTGAAAGCAGGGCGAGGACTAGACCAATTACCTTATCGAGAAGTGACAAACAGAGAGCCTCGTCAAACACTTGAGCCCAGCAATCTCCCTCAAAATCGGGAACGCAGAGGGCTTCGGAGGTACTCTACTAAGCTCCAGCTCTTTCAAGTTCCTCAATTTACTCAACTCCAACCCGTTCACTCCAAGTGCCGCCACCTTTAATTGCAGGTGCTCCAAGCCACCCAGGTTACCAAACTCCTGGGGAAACAGATTCAACTGGTTCGAGAAGAATTTTAGGGTTTTCAAACCCTTAAACCTCCCCACGTCCCTCGGGATTAAATTCAACTCATTCTTGTACATGTACACCTCCTCTACTCGGCTTTCTTCACCATTAATCAGAGGAAAATCCAAGATTTTTCCAGAAATGTCCATAGTGGAGTCCAATTTCAAATCTTTATCGTGATTTTTTTCCTCCAATGGATCCGATTCAGGGGGGTTCTCGGCATTCTCTTCCTTATTGAAGAGATCGCTATCGGTTTGATCTAATTCCGTCGCCGCCATTAATTTCTTACTCTCGAATCAAAAATCTATGTAGCAGATGAAAAGAGCATATCGAACTAGAAAACCAATTCAGACAAACAACAAGTGATATATATATTGAGTATGTGTACTGTCAACAAATGTAAGTAGAGGAGAGTGTAAGCGGGCGAATTGTAGAGGCGACGTTCTCGCGAAGGGGGAGAGAAAGGGAAACCCTAGAATCCGGGAAGAGCCATTTTTGCCCCACAGTAGCATGTGGGCTGCATTGACTTATTGTTTTGATTCAAGGAAATAAATAACTCGCTAAAGTTGCTGCTATTTGAGAAGTAACTTTTTTGGCAGCGTGTTGCTATTTGTATTCATGTACAATTTGGCCGCTAAATCTCCACTACAGCTACAGTGTCATAAACATTTTAGCTCGCTATTTAAAACTTTGGTTTGATTTGAAAGTCTTATGCCATTTTAGATTTTTTAGTTATTAAAAAAAGAAAAAAAGAGAAACGAGTGGGGAATCAAGCCGAATCTCCAAACCGTAAATAGTCAAAACTTTAAATGAGTCGAAGAAGTCACCGATCTAGACGTGTTTAAACTATAACGAACACCAAAAGGAAAAAGGATAAAACAACAACCAAAATAAAAAGTCTAAACATGGAACATGTGACTTTTTAGTTTTTTTTTTTTTTTTTTTTTTTTTT